AGATCGTGACCTGGCTGAAGTCGGACGCTTAACCGACTGCGCCACCCAGGCGCCCCTAATGTTTATTTATTTTTGAGAGAGAGAGTGTGAGCAGGGGAGGGGGGCAGAGAGAGGGAGAATCCGAAGCAGGCTCCAGGCTCTGAGCTGTCAGCACAGAGCCTGACGTGGGGCTCGAACTCACAAACCGTGAGATCATGACCTGAGCCGAAATCGAAATCGGACGCTTAACCGCCGGAGCCACCCAGGCGCCCCTCACCCCAAGCCTTCTTATGTTGGCATCTCCTGCTTCCTTCTCATAATTACGAGATTTTTATCTTTAAGCGAAAATATTTTTTGGAATAGACAATAATATGCACGTGGTAAAAACAGAAATCCAAACAGTTCAAGGAGGTGCACGGTGAAACGTAATCTCCATCCTGCCCTGCACCGCGGTCTCTGGGCACGCTCCGCTCTCCCCAGAAGCAGCCTCTGCTCCTGACTTGTGTGCACACCCCGCCCTCAGTGGGGGGCCTTCCCCACGTGGCTGTGCGACTTTTCATTTGACCACGTGTTTGTCGTGAACATCAAAGTCGTTTCCTGTATTCTGTTTCTACTCAGCAGTTCTCAAATACCGTTCATCCATGCCTTTGTGCAGGCATCTCCCTAAAGTCTCTAGAAATGGAAGTTTAAGGTCGAAAATACACATTTTTAACTTTGATAGAAATTTGATAGCCATTACCAAACCTCCTCTTATTTGGAATCTTAAGTTTGTAATCAAAGCGTCTGGGCCACATCTTGTCTCCTTAAATGCACAGGGCGTTGATCCTTGTTCTGTGTCTGTCTTGTGCCCAGGTCCCCACCACCAGCCCCTCCAGCCCTGGGCCTCAGGAGCCAGAGAAGGGCGAGAGGAGGCTCTGGACTCGGCCTCCCGTGGCCGTGGCCCTGAAGCCCGTGTTGCAGCAGAGCCGGGAAGCTGGGGCAGAACAGCCACCGCGGGTTCTCCGCAGCCCCTCCCCAGACCTGAGCCCCCTGCTGGGCCCCCCTTTCCAGAGCCAGCATTCCTTCCAGCCCCTGGAGCCAAAGCCGGGCCTCACTTCGTCTGTTACCTCTGGTAACGGGGGACAGAGTCACTGGGGTGCCCCCTGTACATGCACTGCCTGACTGGCTCCTCGGACCCAGCTCCCTGTCTATCTGGGCGGGGCTTGAGTGCTTGGTTCCCCAGATGTCTCGGGGACCATAAGGTGCAAGGAGCCGAAATGCACTCAAGTTGGCTCAAATAAAGGGAGTGGGAACTCGCGGGGATCGGATGTCACTGGACTTCAGGAGAGCTGGCGTCGGGACCAGGGGCGTTCTCCAGGCTGATTTGGGGCCATCCGGGCCCTTGACTCTGCCTCTCCCCGCACATCTTCCGCTGGTAGACCAGCACTCTCTCTCAGGTCTTGCTCTCATGACGTTGGTTCGCATGTGGGTTTGACCAGCTGTGACACTCCAGCCGATACTCTAGACCATCTTTTTTTTTTTTTTTTTTTTTTTTTTTTTTTTTTAATTTTTAAATGTTTATTCATTTGGAGATAGAGTGTGTGCATATGCGTGTGAGTGAGTGGGGGAGGGTCAGAGAGAGCGAGAGAGAGAATCCGAAGCAGGCTCTGCACTGTCAGCACAGATCCTGACGTGGGACTCGAACCCACAAACTGTGAGATCATGACCTGAGCCGATATCGAGAGTCAGGCACAACCAACTGAGCCACCCGGGGGGGGGGGGGCCCTAGACAACCTTCTAGAGACCTCGGTGTCTCTGTTTCTTGGGTCCAGTTCAAGGAGAGGCGATCTGATGGGTTGGTGACCACTTCTTGGACTGGCTGACCTTGAATGTGGCTCTCCCTGGCTCAGTCAGCTGCGACTTGGGTGGATGGGGACGCTCTGCGTGGTGCAAACACGACCACCAGGTCGAGTGAAGAATGAGGGCTGAGTTACATCAGGATTTTAAATCCAAAAATTGTGTAACCATAATTAAAAAGAAGGAGGGCGTGTTCTGGTGAGGGGGACCAGAACATGTCTGTTAATCGTGAGCCATTCTGAGTATTGGTTTCTCTACTTCGAGGAGTTGATGGTGGGATTAATTTATTTAGAGCCTGAGCCCCACACCTCTCTCCTGTGTCCACACTTTGTGGAACTCAGCTGTGCCACCTGCCAGTCGCCCCCCAACTTTCTCTCTCCAGCTGTTCTAAACGTTGGTTGTCCTCCCCCAGCTGTGATGCCCTCTTACGTTACTGGGCCTCTTTCCTCGGGGGCATTTGGAGGGTTGATTTGTGGAGGAGTCCCCTCCCCGCACAACACACGCTGGGCCGGTTCGCTTTCCAGCCGGGGCTTTCTCTACCACCGGCGCCTTCCACCCCGATCACCGGCCAGAGCGGCCGTTCCCTGAGGAAGATCCTGGATCCGACGGGGACGGCTTCCTAAAGCCGGGGCTGCAGCCCCCTTCCCAGCTGGACGGCCTCAAACATTTTTTGCACCAGGTAAGCGAGGGCCCACCCATCCTACCTCATTTCCTTCTCCCCTTCCTCGTTCTCTCTCCCCTCCAGGAGTCCAGGACGGTGGCTGCAGCCGCCTTTCGGGGCTGACAGCTTCTCTCGCGGGCTGTCTCGATTCCCATCGCCCGAGTTCTGGAAGGCGGCCATCCCTGGCCCTTTCTTCCCTCTGCCTCCCTCACATTCCCAGGGCTCTTTCTTCACCGGTCCTCAGGGAGCCTCACTGTCTTGTCCCCCCAGCTGCTGGAGACAGTACCGCAGAGCAGCGAGGCCCCCTCTGTTGAGCTGTTGCCCCCGAAGTCTGGTGAGTGGGGAAGGTGGGAGCCGCAGAGGCGCAAGAGCCTAAGGGAGGCGAGGCGATGGGGCTTTCTCGGCTCCTGCTCTGTTTCCCGAGCCCTGCGCCTCTTGCCTTTCGCTAGGCCCCCTGACTGTCCCGTCTTGGGAGGAGGCCCCGCAGGTGCCACACCTCCCGCCCCCAGTTCATAAGACTAAAGTGCCCCTGGCCATGGCGTCCAGTCTCTTCCGGGCTCACGAGCTTCCCTCAAGCCATTCACAGAGCAGCGGCCTCCGGGCGGGCTCCCCAGAGCGCGATGAGCGGCCGGGAGGTGAGGAGGGAAGGTGCTGGCTGCGGGGGCCTGGGGAGGCGGAGCGAGGGCCCTGGCGTGACGAGCGTCACCGATGCGCCTCAGGTGGGCACGGGCTCGCACCCGCGCGGCAGCTGATGGATGTGTCGCAGCTGCTACGACTGTACCAAGCTCGGGGCTGGGGGGCTCTGCCCGCTGAGGACCTGCTGCTCTACCTGAAGAGGCAGGAACACGGCAGGTACCAGCCTGGAGGGAGGGGAGGAGGGTCAGACGGATGGAGCCTGGACCCGTGGGAGACGGCCCAGGCAGGGGAGGGAGGGTTGGGTGCTGTCCACCGAGAGGCATCTGTTCTCTTCCGGGGCAGCCGGTGCGGGCAAGCGGAGGCCCAGCCGTCCCCTCTGTTCCTCTGCGACTTGCTGCTCCCGCCACTGTTTGTTCTTCTTCCCGAGAGACTGGGGAATAGTTTTCCCTCCGATGTCGGGGAGCCCCCCGTCCTCACCCTCCATTTGTGCGGCAGGACGGACAGCCGAGGGGATAATGTCCCCAGAAGGAACACGGACTCCCGCTTGGGTGAGATCCCCCGGAAAGAGGTGAGGGAAAGTGAGGCGGGGGCGAGGGGCGTGCAAGGGCCCTCACCCACTGGTTCCTCCCCGGCCAGCTCCTTGTCTGTTGCCTCACCTCTGTTTCCTGTCTGTCTTCTGTAGTGTGTGGTCTCCCCTTGGCTGGCTGGCTGACTGTGGCCCTCTCCATGCACGGTGCCTTTCTGGGGTGGTGGGGAGGCTGACCCCCTTCTCTCCTCCCTCCCCTCCCAGATCCCCTCCCAGGCTCTCCCTCGCCGCCTGGCTGCTGCAGCCCCTAGGACAGACAAGCCTCCCGCACGCAGGAAGGGCGGGCACCCGGCCCCCAGCAGCACGAGGAGTCGGGGGGGCATCTGGAGATGAGCCCCTCGCCCTGTCTGCTCTTCTCCTAATAAATGTTCCAGAGTCTGTATTCGGGTCTCTGACTCCTCGGAATTTGACAAAATGGAGATTTTATAAGAAGCTACTTTGTAAAGAAACCTCATTCTATTTGAGTATGTTTTTTACATGTTACACGTTTGTTTTCTCTTCGGGGGAAAAGACACGAACGCTTCGAAGAAAGCCCGCCTCTGGCTGGCTTTGAGAACACTCAGTGAGCTTAGGCCCGGCGTGTCACGAGCGGAGCATACGGGGTGATTGGCTGTGGTTGGGAGTGGAATTATGGATGATTCTAATTTTCTTCTTCAGACATTTCTATATTTTCCACATTTTCGAAAGCAAGTTTGTATTAATAATCAGAACAAACTTTTAATAAAAGAGTAAGTTAATTGTATGAAGAGTTTGAGGAAAAATTTGATTCGTGGGGAGGCTTTTGGCTTTGAGGAGCCGTGACCCTTGCGGACTGCGTTAGCAGGATGCAGACTGACCGTGCGCTCCGGCTCCGGGAGGCGGGTTACAGACTAGACCGCGGGCCAGGAGGAAAAGCCACTCTCGCGAGACCTGCCGCCTCGTACTCCCCAAAGCGAGCAAAGAAATGATATTGAAGAGAAAAAAACGACAGGTACATGCACCTGGGAGGCCCCGGCCTCACAGCACAAACCCTTAAGGGCACGGAGTAGAGTTGAGCTCAAACTGCAGGACGACACCCAGGGACCCGGCTGAGGGCAGCGAGGACAGCAGTTGCGGCCCTGCGGGGCTGGCCGTGCCCCCTGCGTGTGGAGGGCAGCGCTCACCAGGCCTGAGGGGCGCGAGGCCCTTCCCTCGGCCCCCGCGTCACTTGCTTGGCTGCAGAACCGACGTGAGCGCACACGATTCACCGTGTCGGTCAAACGTGTGGGTCTTGTCCCCGCCGCCACCACGAAGTCACTGTAGCCCCCAGGTGAGGGGAAAGGAAGACAGACCGTGGTCCTCGCCCCGCCCTTCCCAAGCCCCGTCTCTGCCCCCCCGGGGAATGTTTGCTCCGCTGTTTTTTTACCCCAAGTGCATAAAACCAATTTGAACAAACTGTGATTTGTGCCACACCGTCGCCACTGGGAGGAGGTGGTTCTGTGCCACTTTTCAAAGCTGGTAGAATGAACGCTGAGCCTCACCTCGTTATCTCCTGGGTTCTGACCTGCCGCCATCAGCCGACGTGCCCCACATTTTTCTTGACGCGAGGGACGGTGTGGAGAATGTTGCCCAACTCTCCGGAACAAAATTAAGTCAGCACAGTGCTGACTTAATCATTTTGTGAGCTAAATCTAGGAAAGACCACTTCCGTTTTTAAAAAGCTATATCGGACCCACATTAAAAGCCTATTCCTTCACTGAAGGCCAGCAAGGAGGCCGGGGAGGAGAAGACCCACAGACAGGCAGCCCCCCACCTTTTCCTTCCATAATCATCTCGGGAATATTCCGAGATGCGGAAAATGAGAGACTCTGCAAGTTCTAGAAAAGCCCACGTGCAGGGGAGGCGGGTGCAGCCTCTCACTCGGGTTTCGCTTAGTGTGGACAGCATGTGACGTGGGACTTTGTCTCCTGAGAACTCCCACGGCCCCGTGAGGGTGGGGCGGGGGTTCTGGTGGTGGAACAGGCCGGGGTGAAGACTGAGCTACCCCAACAGCCCCAGGGGTGCACTGGCTCTGGGGCAAAGCGTATCTGCCTGGTAACCGCCCGGAGCAGCGGGGTGGTCCTGCTCCTTGTGGTCACCCGGGGTCGCCGGTTCTTTGGTCTCCTCGCTCTCACCAGGTCAGCGTCCACGGTTGTGTGCTTGAAGCCGCATCGTGGTCCCGTGGGACTCCCAGCTGCCGAGGAGGGCATAGAGCCACGCCCGGTGTTTTAAGTCGCGTACTTGGAAATGCCACACATCAGTATGGCTTCTAGGTCACTGGAAACAATTGCTGAGACAGCCCGTGTCAGCCCTCGGCGCTGACCCCGCGCGCGGATCAGGAAACCACTCACCCCATGGGTAAATGACCAAGGAGCTCAAGCGTCGTGGGGGCCTTGGGGCAACAGAAATTCCGCCCGCGCTCTGCCGGTGGAGGACCCAGGAGAGACTTGGCAGACCCCTCCGGGAGACAGTCTGGCATTACCTAGCAAAGGTGGGGACGTCCGCGCTCTAGGACACGGTGAATCTGTCCCCCGAGACGTGCCCGTACGCACCAGGAGAGCAGCACGAGCCTGTGGTGGCAGAAACCTGCCAACTGCCGGGTGTCCGGCCGCAGCAGTGGCCCCCACGCAGCAGCCCAAACGGACGAGCTACAGTCACGCGCATCGGCGTGCATGAATCTTGCAAACGTGGAGCGGGAAAAGCTGGTTGCGGAAGAAAGTGCACAGTACGCTGTTTACGTCTCGTTTGAAAGCAAGCGGTCCAATCCGGCGTGGGGGTGTTGGAGCCCACGGGGGTGAGTGGGGGCCCTGGCGGGGGGCGGGGGGCGGCCCGGCTCGGTGCTGGAGGTGAGGGGCCGGCAGGCGTGGGAGCGCGGCTGGGCGACGCAGGGCATCTGCCAGAGAGGATGTGCTGGCGGATCGTCACATACAGCAGGCGGATCAAGTCCGGGATTGCGCTGTGGACAGGGGGGGGCTGGGATTTTCACTACGGGAGCAAGGGTTTACAAACGCGGGAAGGGAGACGACTAGAATTCTGTGGTGTTGGATTGGGACTCAGTGCGTCGGTGTGGACTCCCGGCCTCACACGTGTACAGATGGTTCTGGAAATTCAGACAGGTAGATTGGTGTGTTATATACGCATTCACATATTCCCCAGCACACCCCACCCCTGCTTAGTTTCCCAAGAGTGTTCTAATTATCACAAAACCGTGGCATCACGGAATAGAAATTCGTTCTCACAGCTCTGGAGGCGTCGGCAGGACGTGCTGCCCGCAGACGCTCGGGGAGGGTCCTTCCTCACCTCCTTCTGGTTTCCACTGCTGCTTGTGAGCGATCCTCGGCGTCCCTTGGCTTGTAGACACACGATGCCACTCTCTGTTGTCACGTAGGGTTCCCTGTCCCCCTGTGTCTTCACCTGGCCTTCTTATAAGGCCACCAGTCATTGGATTTAGGGCCCGCCCTAATCCCGTATGACTTCACCTTAACTGATCACATCCACCTTCTTTCCAAATAAGGTCACGTTCAGAGGTATTGGGGTTTAGGATGTAAACATACCTTTTGGGGGGATACGATTCAACCCATAAAAAGCCCGTTAACCATGAACACGCCTAGCATCCGGCCCTTGCCTTTTAAACGCCATTCTGTACTAAAAAGGAAGGGATCCTTGGGGAAATGGCCGGCGCCAGGTCTGCATCAGGGAGAGGACGAGGTGAATCCGGACACTCTCTGTCCGGAGGTACCGTCCGATCCCACAGGCTGAGGGCTCAGTCCCACATGACTGCCCCCCAGTTCAGAACCAATTGCGAGTAAGTGGGTGCCCAGGTTACCCACAGTTGCCGTCTGATTTGGCTGCAAGTAGGAGGTGCCCATGACCCCCTCGTCGGCTTCCATGAATTTGCTAAGCTCCCAGTCGTTGCCTGGTCTTCCCGGTGAGCGGCCCCCACCAGGAGCCCACCCAGGGTCACCTCAACAGAACCCAAT